GGATGTCGGCAAGCCAAAGTTGTGTGGAGATTGTCCCCTAGCCTGTGTGTAGGCGTGTGTGCCAACGGGAAGCAGGATGTTGCGTTGAGCTGATCCACGCATGGCGAGTCCCGGGCTTTTCAGGGGATCAGCCTCGCCTCTCATCCGGGCCATGTCCAGCTGCAAGGCCTCGCATCAGCTTCCTGAGCTCCCTGGGCCCTGGCTCCCAGCCCTGGGAATCAACCTAGAAGTGCCTACTGGGGAGGGCTCAGAGCAGGGCTTCCGGGGTCTGGCCTAGGCTGTGAGCTGCCGCGTGCTGTAGGAATTGCCTGGAAGGCCCTTGCCTGTGGTTGCAGGAAAGCTCGGGACTGGCAGGGCTGGTACTGTTTCTAGCGTGGAGACCATGCCCAGTGTGCCATAGCCAAGACAAAATGCCAATACACTATTCCTAGAAACCCGAGTGGGGAGACCTGGCTGTACATCAATGAACTTCCTGAGAAAGGAGCAAACAAGGCTGCTTTTCCTTTGCAAGGCTTCTTTGTCCACGGGACTGCCTCAGTGACAGGCTGCTGCCCTTGAGTATGTGTGATGAGCGTGTTCCCTCGGGGCTCCAGTAGGGTGTGTCCAAGGCAATCTCGGGGGCTCACCTGGCCTGGCTTTGCCAAGTTGGACAGAAGGTTGCAAAAGCCAATGAAAATAAAGCAACTGCTGCCTTGCTGGCGTGGCTCAGTGGTTGAGCATCAGCCTATGAACCTAGAGGTCACAGTTCGATTCCAGGTCAGGGTGCATGCTCAGGCTGTGGGCTTGATTCCCAGTGGGAGGCGTGCAGGAGGCAGCCAATCAATGATTCTCTCTCATCATTGATGTTTTTCTCTCTCTCTCCTCTCCCTTCCTCTCTGAAATCAATAAAAATATATTTAAAAAATTTAAGCAACTGCTGTGATCTGTTTGGGGCACGGTAATCAGAACTAAAGAGCCCTGAGGGAGCCCTTCTGGCCACATCTTAGCAAACTCACCGCTGGCGCCTGTCCCTTTGGCAAGGCCGGGTCAGGAGCCCTGTCATGAACCACTGTCACAGTAAACGTTCGAGTATAGAGGCCCGGGTGTGGCTTCAGGAAGGGCTGGGCCAGGCTCAGCTCCCTGTTGGCATGGGAGGGCCATTGGGGCAAGTTGGTGGGGCTTTGAATGTGTGACCGGGGAGGGTCTGCCGGGGTGTGTCTGTGTGCCCCAACTCACACCTGGAGGCAGCCATCCGGCGCCTGGACTTGCCGCTCATCGCTGGCCACACCTTAGGGGAATGTGATTGGGGCAGGAAAGGGGTGACTGAGGTACCAAGAGGGGATAGGATTTCGTACTCCTTTGGTTTAAAAAAAAGACTGAAAATGGTTATTACTAAAGAATGCTCTCTCCTGACCTACTGGTATGGGCCGGCCTCAAGGCCACAGCTGAGGTCCCGTGAGATGAGGCGGTGGCTATGTAGGGGAAGGTGCTACACGCTGGGCTGAGAATAAAGCAGCCATGATGGGAAGTGGTCCCCAAGCCAGGGAGGGTGGAGAAATGGCTGAGTGAGTAGCGGGGAGGCAGCCAAGGCTCCCCCCTCCTCCCACTGAGAGGTCATAGTGTGCGACTGAGGGAGCAGGGAGGGTGTTGGGACTCCCGAGTGGGCAAGATTCGCGTGTGCACGCAGGCGTGGGGTGCCCAGGGGATATGAAGGGTGGGCAGGTGTGGATGTGGATACACTGAGTCCCAAGATTCACAGCCTCTCTGGCCTCCCCTGGTCACCCCTCCAGGGAGTGCCCCTTTCCCTCCCGTTCCAAGGACAAGCTCCAGATACTCCCTGCATTGGCGCTATGTGCTGGGGCCTGAGACAACAGATTGCTCTGGCCCTCAGGCTCCTTGTCCATGCCCTGCACTGGGCCTTCCGCTCTCAGAGAGCCTGAGGCTCCCACCGGAAGTGGTGTCGGCCCAGGGGCCCGGATGTGTGGAGACACTTGCCCCAGAACGTGGGACAAGTGTGGACTGGCTGGGGGGTGGGAAAGGAAGACAGGAACCTTTG